TGGTGTTTGTACATGAATGACTTCATTATTGAAGTAGTAGCTACATTAACTACCTTAACGTCTTTTGAGGCTACATTTGAAAAATGATAAAAGAGAATGCATCTTAACTGTGTGTTTATCTCTGGTCCAGTTCATTCCTACAGACATTTTTTTTCTAAGACATTAAAAAAGTATATAGGTAAGGGAGAACAAACACATAATTTTTTTCAGGTTGTCTATCATCTCTTCATCTGAAATTCAGTACAGGCACATAACTGATTAATATGATGTGTTTGGTCAAAATCACATTTAATCCCTCAAGAGACAGATACAATACTGAGAGCAAAGCATTTTGAAAAGGATTTATATTAATTTACTGATAAAAAGCTATTTTTCCTGACCATACTTGTGATTATTCAAGTCTATTTTATACCAGGGCAGATAGGATATTGTTCTTTTGCTCTCACCTCTGCGAGAGCAACCCCTATTTATATAAGCACAGTTTCCTACCCTGCACACACAGCTACATTTCTCATTCACTACCTTAATATCCTTGCCTGTTAAACCATCGATCCAAGTGGTCATTAGGGAAGGCAGAGGCTGAGTGCTTTAGCAGAGCGGCCAACACCAAATCAGAAGTCTTTTGATTTATTTTTTTTAATCACGACATTCACAGACCCAATGCTGTCCCCAGCAGTAGGAAAGCTACTCAGTTTTGGTGAAGGGGAAACCTACCTTTTCTCCAGGGCCTACAGAAGGGAGCAGTTTTCTGCGTTTTCTCCTCACCATCTCCACTTGCGTTTTATTTATTTTTCTGTAACTCTGCCCATCAAACTAAATAAGATTCTCAAGCGGATGGTTCCCATGCTAGTGGTGCCTCTTTGCTGTATTCTGCATGGCAATGCTGTGGGGTCTTCACTCGCACTCTGCAATGTGTCATTCGTCCAAACTCTTCACGAGGAACAGAATTTAGCCTTAAATCTTCCATTTTTCAAAACCAGCAGAACTAAAATTAGCCATACAACTTTAACTTAGCTTTCTAGTTAAACAGTTGGATGGTTCCCATGCTAGTGGTGCCTCTTTGCTGTATTCTGCATGGCAATGCTGTGGGGTCTTCACTCGCACTCTGCAATGTGTCATTCGTCCAAACTCTTCACGAGGAACAGAATTTAGCCTTAAATCTTCCATTTTTCAAAACCAGCAGAACTAAAATTAGCCATACAACTTTAACTTAGCTTTCTAGTTAAACAGTACCTGAAAATCCTACTGCCATATGATCAAAATATTAGTCTGTCTTCATGACTTAAAAAATATTCTCTTACACGCAAGAAAAAAAAAAGAAATCACTCGTCATTGTCACTGAAGAACAAGAACATTAGATCCTTATTCACCTAGTTGGGGGGTGGGGGAAAGAAACATTGCGTGCAAAACAAGAATTCATTTTAATGCATTGTTGGGCTTGACATTTCAACCGGACATTCTGAATTTAACACGTGTTCTTTCAGTCACAATGGGGCTCATATATTCACCTGAATGGTACCAATCTGCTTATATTTTTTCCTAAATGAACAATTTATTCTACACCATTTATCCTTATTCTAGTATCTAGATACATACTGCAAATTACTAGAAGAACATATGATTTGTTTTCTTCCAGATTTTGTTTAGTAAGGTTATTACAAGGTAACAGACACGTCACAAGAAAAATAAGGAAAAAAAGCAACTTAGTATCCAGATGCCTCCTAGTATATCACTTGTGGAGAGTTACAGTACTGTTTGACAAGAGGTAAAATGTTTCACCTTTACTGTTTTCAAAAAAAAAAAAAATCAGTGGTAGCAAAATGTATCTGTCTTAGCTATTTAATGGGCAAGTAAAATCTTCCTGATTCACTTCACGCTCCTTACCAATCTTCTGAAACAGGAACATAACAGTTTCTTCAATCGCCATTTTAATAGAGAAAATAGCAAAGATCTGTTTCTCTTTATCAGTAAAAAAGGGAAGAAGGTGGTAGGGGAAGAGGCTGCAGCCTGTCATTTCTAATATCTTACTTCCCATGACAGTTGAGATTGTTTTGGTCAAGAGTTTGCAAATTTGGGCTGCAAACCTCAGTATGCAAATACGAGCTGCAAATATATAGAGGGAGGAGGTTACAGACATCACACTTTTTCCTTTCCCGTTTACACTTATATTAAAAACGGAGTTCCAAAAACTTTTAATTAAGCGTCCTTTGCACAGCTACCTGGCAAACTCGACGAGCATGCTGAAATAATAGGGGATGTGGACTGGTGCATTTATTTCAATAAATGCCATATGGATTTTGGAATTCCGTAATCATGGATCTGGCACCTCTTTATAATATATTTGGGACAGACTGAAACATTTTTGCAAAATTGCTATAACCAGGTGCTTCTGCCTCACTGAGGCTAAACTACCTTTTACTATTCAGGTTTCCTATAAGGAGGACAGAATTGGAAGTCAAGTATATATGGTCTACACTGGCCCATCTCTTGCCTGCCCCTCCCCGATTATTTCTTTACTTTCTTAATAAAGTCACACTGAAGGGCCTATTACTTCCTAGCTGCTCCGGTAGAAGATTCTGCAGTTGCACTTAGCTAGTAAAAGGTGTAATGATACATTACTTGGAAAGAAAACATCTGTCTTCATGAACTGAATTTTATAAGAGAAAGCTTAAGTTTATCAAAAAGCAAGACTTGACATAGTGCAAGTACGAACTCCCTACAAGCATCAGATTTAACCTAGAAATAGTTAAAAGCTGCTAAAAGACTTAACTCATGGTCAACATGCTGAGTACATTAGAAAACATATCTTCCCTGACAAGCAAAAATAAGACTTAACTCTCACTGAAATTTATCAGAGACTCAGGTAACCGAGAACAGTCAGTTTTTAAATAGTTGAGGTCAATTATCCCTCACTAAGAGAGGGAATGCCAGCAGCTTCTACCCAACTTTTCCCGTTAGATCTCCATGCAGAAGGAGCACTGATAAGGGGTTTTTTTGTTACTATAACATTTGTAACATTACTGCAACATTTGATACTCACCTTTAACATACAGGGGGAGAAGGGAATGACTTTGACTAGTATCCTTGGGTATATCATTCATCAGGAGCCTCTGATAGCAATAAGTATTCTAACAGACAAAAAAAACTTATGCCTGTTAAAAGCGTTAAGAACAAGCTCAAGTGCAGAGTTTCCATACCAAATGCCAAAACTACATAACGCAGGGAACTGTGGCTAGACAACATAAGTTCAAACTTCATGCTTTATACTTCTAAGCAGTTTTAAACGCTTATAGACAGTGTTCATATTCCTTTCGATACCACAAAAGTACTGACTCGGTCCTAAGGTCCACTGACATGGTGCTCTCTTAAGACTGACCACCACCACAAGTTCCAGAAGGGGGGACAACCCCATTTAAGAAAGAGCAAGACATCTGCCACAGCTGTAGCTTTTAGAATATGTTCATCTGCAGATCTCCGTAACGTCATTACCTCACTGACATGATACAGCAAGGAATCCAAAGAAAACAGTCATATTTTTGACAGGAGATTAGCAGCATGTCCTTCTAACTATTTAGAGGGTGCTACCCTGGAATATCTCTTTTGTTTTAGAAGAGGGGGAAGAATAAGAACTTATGTATGTCTTTATTTCCGTACAAGTTAGAATAGGCATTATTTCTTTTCCCAGCTAAACAATATTCATCCCCTTGTACTAATTGTTTCCATTTCAAAATCACGAGATCCCTCCCACTCTACTTTTGTGGTACAGAAATATCTGCCATAGTTGTATACACTATTTTATGTTGTAATACAGACTATTACTCTAGTTAGCTTCAATGCAGTTTATACTTTTTAATATGTTTGGGTTTTTAAGCTTATAAGCAGAAGCAGAGCACCTTCTAACCCTTCCTAAAGGGACTTCATTAACAGAAGAAAGAGAGATGTCTCAACTGATCTTGAAACTATAAGAATATGGGCTACAGGAACTCTTTGACAGGTACCCCACACAAAAGGTTAATGAAGCATAAAGCCTCTCTTTGCGGTATTCACATACACTTCCCCCATCTTCCTCCACTATTCTTTTGTCACACTGCTCACTTTTGGTAATACTAGCTTACAGAGCTAAATATACATGAACATGTTACCTCTGCATTACAATATTCATTTTAAATGACAGTGATAAGGTCAGATAGAAACTTCCCTGATAAGTTTTGTTCACAGAAACTGATTAAACATAAAAGAATGAAGAAAAAAAAAATTGTTATCTAATAAAAAAGTGTGTTGTCCACTCACTTTTCTGTTTCACAAAACAAAAATAAAAATCATGTAATAGACTATGGAAAAAGGAAGAAAACCACACAGAACACCCTACATTTTACTGCAGTTTTCTTACATGATAATATGCAAGTATTTCCTAATATAGCAACTAATAAAACCTTCTAATTTTAGAACTTTTCAATAAGCTTTCCAGTTGGCTTTCTCTCACCTTCACTTAGACCCAGGGGCTAAGTCATGTGCAAGAGCTATAGAAGCATGAAAGTGGCCACCAGAGCAGGCAGCCCAGTGAAGACAACCACTACTAAATTAACCTTGAATTTCGGGGTTTTCATGTTTGAAACGCCACCTTCCCTTTGAGCTTTTGGTCAGGCTCCAACAGTTAGAGACATGACTACCATGACCATATCTGAACTGTAATCTTTTCTAAACAGGAAACTACTCTATATTTGAAACAGAAAGCATTTTTATCGTTTTATTAGGTGAGCAGCAAGTACTGAAAAGGAATACATTTCCTGCAGTGACCAGAATTGACAGTGCAATTACAAGAAAGCACCAGGCCTCCCTGAAAGACTTCACGTGCAGTCAGAAACAGCGTGATCAGCAGTCACAACAATTCTTGGTTTTCAACCCAAAGTGAGGTACGGTTTTCTTGCCTTTCATATCAAATAGAGTTAAGCAGATTTGCTGGATTTCAGAAGTTTTCATGTTGTTTTTGCGTTCACATGTTAGCGCTCTGCTGCTTTTCTCAGATATTCCTCTACTTCCATCAGTAAGTCAGTCCACACACTTAGGCCACAGACTTTAAAGTCTCCCTCCTGTGCCTTCAGGAGTTTCAGAGCAGCCTGGGTCTGCCCTTTGAGTAGCGCAGATCCCTGACAGAGGCAGGTGAAGCGCTCCCTCAGCTCATCCCAGGACAATTCAGCTTCATCAAAACAACTTTTAACCCACTGTCCCTGCAAGGGGTCATAGAGCAAGTGGCTTCCCCAGCTGGTTAAAAGGTCCAAATAAGGTCTGCTTAACTGGGGATAGTGACCAGCTAGGGAGGCAAGAAGGGAGCCTGGGAGGAAAAGGCAGAAGGCAGAAAATCGCTCCAGGTTCCCCAGCAGCCAGGAAAGCAGGGGCCCGGCAACGGATCCATCTCCTGTTCCACTCGCCTGGTTTCCGTCTAGGCTGTTCCCATCCCGACCCCCGCCTCCGGCCTGCTCAGCGCCACTCCCCTGCCTCAGCAGCAGCAGCGCCGCCGCCGCCACCTCGAAGGCCCGGGGCTGGGAGAGCTGCTCCAGGACACCGGACAGCCAGCGCAGCCGCCCCGCGGCCT